TTCATCTTCATAATTTATTTCCTCACTACAGAATATATAAATGAAATCATTTACTGCGTAGCTTTTTGATATAACCATTTATTTTGTTTTTTCAAGACAGAATTTATCTGTGTAGCCCTGACCGCCCTGGACTAGGCTAGTCTCAAACTCAGAGATTCGCCTACCTCTGTTTCCCGAGTGCTAGGATTAAAGGTGTACATCACTACTGCCTGGCTTGTAACCATTTACTTATTGAGGGACATTTGTAATTTTTTTCTATTTAGATGAGCTGCTGTGGACATTTACAAACTGTTTTTTATGTGGGTAGAAATGTTTGCTTAATCGGTATACATACCTAAGAATGAAACTTAAGTATATTGTAAGTGTATTTTAAACCTAAAAAAAAAAAATGACTGTCTACGTGCACGCATTCATGTGCCATGATGCACATGTGGAGGTCAGAAGAAAACTTTTCGAAGTCGGGTCTTTCTTTCCATCATGTGGGTTCCAGGGACTGACTCCAGTAGTCATGTTTGGCAGCAAGCATCTAATCTGCTAAGCCATTTGGACAACTCAAACCTTACATTTTCTAGGAAAGTGACAGTATGTTCTGGGTGTTTTGTTTTTTTACCTACTCTGCTAGGTGCTAAGGGGTAAAAGTGTAGGTTTCCTGCTTGGTCCTCACTGTCACCCTTGTGGGACAGTAGTACCTCATTACTGTTAGGATGGGGAGAATTCTGACTAGGCTTCTCTGTTGGCAGTCGCATGGGAGGGAGAATGGACCCTCTAACTGTTCCCTCAGGATGCAATGGCACTGTGGTGGCTGGGGTGGAATGCTCATTATTACCATTGGAAGGAGGTAAAAGTCGATTCGGATTTGAAGTTCTCAGATGGCACCTCAGGGCAAGAGGATCTGTCATAGACAGGTGTAAGCAGAAGTCTGGGTTCCCCATGTCCTGGCTAACAAGTGGAGGGCTGCAGTGTTCTATCTGGTGCTTGGTTGGAGTGGGCTGATTATTAGCAGCGCTGTTCTTTGCTCAGTCCTTTGACTGAACAGGGTTAATTTTTCTGAGTGCTTCCCTCCCTCTCTTCTGGCACTGTCTATATAGCGCAGGCTAACCTAGAATTCATGCCCCTGCCTCTGTCCCCTAAGTGCTGGGGCTTCAAACATGGAACCCTCTTGTCATAACAACCTGCTGTCCAAAGGATAAAGTCTGAGCTGTTACCATGGCCACTCACTGCTCTTCAGTGCCTCACTACAATTAACAGTCATCTCTTCTGAGGTTTCCACCATGCACATGTGCTTGCCAGCTCTACAGAATTTCCTGTTACCATTTCTTCAATACATGTTTTTTTATGGCGTGTTGTTTTGCAAATGTACTCTGTGGGTCCCATCTTCTCATCTTTTCTACTTGGTATGCAGCTAGCCATTCCTCAAATCTAGACATACCACATATAGTGAAGCCTTCTTCTAAGATTCAGAAGCATTTGATCCCATCTCAGGGCTACCCTAGCAGTAGGAACATGCTCTGTAGCCTGTTTCTTGTTTGCATTGATTTTTCTACCTTACCCTTGCAGTGGGATTGTGCTATACATCTCTGACCTATTTAACTGTAAATTCTTTTATGTAAGGCACTATGTCTGTTTTATTCATCAGTCTGTCCCTTAGCCTAGCACAGAACTGGCACTGAACAAATGTTTATTAAATCAGTAAATGAATGAATCATTACTTCACCCAGAGACTGTCTGCAACTTGTAAGACTAGGCTACTGAGACAAACTCATTTTTACCATTGCCATTTATTTCTTCTCAGTTTTCCCTGAAGAACAGCAGCTTTGAAAAATATCTAATAATGAGCATTTCTGTTCTCCCTTCTGTCATACCTTTCAGGTTGTGTTGTTCCTTAGCTGCTTCTCCACTAGTGTCCTGAGGAGGCTGACTGTAGGAGAGCCAGCAGATACGGTTTCTAAAGCCAGTTCTTGAAGTTTTCTTTGACAGGCGTTTCAGAACTGCAGCTTTTACAAGAGCAATGTAATCCTCTTCAATGTGATCATCTTGTCTTTGACTGTGAGGATTTTAACAGTAACTTTGTGGGGAGAGTTCAGTATCTGACATTTAAGATAATAGCATTTTCCCTTTTCTATATTTTATTTAACCCCACATACATCCTTGTCAACACCCAAGTTATTCAACATGAGCTATCACAGTGCTTACTGTAATCAGTGAGCTAAGCTGAACATATATACAAACATGCTGTTAAGGAGTCTTTACAAGACAAGCCTGTGCTACCATACACATCACCTCTTTTTAAGAAATCTGACTCAATGTCTTATCATAATCTCTCCACTTACAAGACCTACTGAACATGTCAGGAACTATTGCATTTTTTATATAAGTAATTTCTAGTTATTACAGCCACCTTGTAGTACAGGTGTTATTATCCATGCTTTGTAGACATGGCAACTGAAATTCAGTTGTATCTGAGCCAGAATTGTCCCTGACTCCAAGCAGTGTTTTAATTTTTTAGTATACCATTCTGTCTCTCAATGAAAAATCCTAGTATTACATTTCTCCTAATATCTTGACATCCTATCCATTCAGTCACATCTCTGAGACCTGGTTCTATTGTCTGTTTTATAAGATAGAAATGGGAGGAGGGAAGTGCATTTTTAAATGTTTGTGTATATACTGACACTTGCATTCTTTTGCCTAGTAATTTGGCATTTGGTCTCTAATATTCAGGAGCATTCAAGGCCTTTTATCCCTTTGATAAAATCAAGGAAGCACTCATTACTATATCTTAAAGGGTCTAAACAGTTCATTAGCTGCCCAGAAAGTCATGGGTGATCAGTGAAACTCAGTAGCAGTTGGAACTGATGCTTGATGGGTAAAAAGGCCATTAACATTGAGCTTCTTCCTCACAAGTGCCTGATGCTGAACCATAGTAATTAGAGGGCTGCCAATCAGGAACTAGGATCTTTTCCTTCAGTGGCTGACTAAGCGGCTTGTCCCTTCCTCATTTCTTCAGACACCAGTCACATCCCACAGGGTTTGAGAAGGTGCTGTGTGGGGGTGCCAGACAACAACAGGAAGGAGAGGCAGAAGTGGAGAACAGGAACGCCTGAGTTGTAATAGCCCTCTGTCACTCTCAAGCAGCAGGCAGCAGAGAGCATCTAGGTCACCTACAGGAGCAAGTGTGGATGGGTTCCAGTGATGGGAGGCCTGTCCCAGTTGCCATCCTGGCCCCTGGACAGGGATCCATGGCCCGAATCCATAGGCAGTGCTTTAGACAAGGCAAAGCCTGTTGGAGGACTGGCTCTCTCCCAGGTACTTGTTGGCACACAGTGGGGCCATAGTCACACAGCTCCCAAGAGTTCCAGCACCCAGCAAATATGACGGAAAGACACCAGCACCTCTAAAGAGCATGCAGAACACACAGTAGCGAGCCTCCTCCCTTGACTCCTCTTGGAAATGGAAAGACAGCTGTCCTGCCCTGCTGAACTCTGGATAGCACACAGAAGCTCTGGAAATGGTATCTTCCATTCCTCCACTGAAATCCACTTCCTGAGTGACCCCAGATGACCAACCAGCAGCTTCCTTGGTTCTTTTGTATTCCAACGTGATCCTTCCTTTAGTCCCCTAGGAACCAGTAGCTATCATTCTGAGGAGGCCATATCACTCCTGTGGTGTATCTTCTGTTTAAATAGGGTGCTAACCACCTGGGATTGGAGTGCCCCAGGCAAATGAGAGCTTTAAATCATACTACCCATTTTGATAATTCCCACCTCACTGAATGGTAGGAAAGGGATGACTTATGTGTTTATTATTTATTTATTGCAGTGTGTGTGTGTGTGTGTGTGTGTGTGTGTGTAAGTGTGCTGTGCATTTGCCTCTGCATGCACATATGGTGGCCAGAGTGGGACCACGAGTATCTTCCTCTATCATTCTCCACTACAAATACTTGGTTTTGGGCAGGGTGACTGGCTGGCCAGTGAGGCGCTCAGCATCTGCCTGTCTTCAAACCCGAGTGCTGAGGTTATAGGCACAGGAAGCCATGTCTGGCTTTTTATGTGGGTGATGGAGATTCAAACCCAGGTCCTCATGTTTGCAGAGCTGGTGCACTTACGAGCCATCTCCCTACACCCTGTGTGGTGTACTTAAGGATTTGACTGAGTCACTCCATGTGATAGATACTCTAGGTGTTCCAGCATTTTACAGGACCTGGGATTTGTGCCTCTTGTCTATTGCCTTTCTTCTTCCTCTAGCCCTTTACCTCTGACCTTGACTTGCTGCCTTCATTTCTGGCACTAGACCCATACTCCCAACTGCTGGTAGTATGTGAGGGTTTTACAGCTCTGCTTACCCTCTTTTTGCTCGATACCAGGGCTGACTAGGCAAGCCCATTATCCCGAGTCCTCCCCTGTTTGGTGGAGCTGTTGTTGTACCTCCCTGACCTTGCTCTGAGGACTGGGCACTCCTAGGAGTTAGGGGTGGGTGGGGTTAGGGCTGAAACCCATTTGCACAGACGCATTCCTATTTTATGTTCTATTAACAAGTTTACTTTCCAGGCGAATACTTCCCTTTCCACCCTCCTTCCCTTCTCTGTATTTCGCCCTTGGTTTCCTATACAAGAATCTCACCATAGCTTCTGTTTATAGGTGGAAATACACCCTGGTGTCTTCAGGCTGGAGGCGGTCATGTTTATGAGCTCCGAAGACCCTTCCTTGTAGCTCTTCACTGCCACCTGGCTGCTTGCCTCTCAAGGGGAGAGTGGAGTGCTGGCTACGGCGGCGGCGTTACTGCCGGCAGAACTGGGTATCTAGTGGAGATTCGGGAAGGCTCCCTCTGGCTTAGTAAGCAGTTTGGAATCTGAGCAGGCAGGACCAGAACCTGAGAGATGGGTTTGGGGCTAAATACTTGCCTCCCTGAGACACTTCCAGGCCTCCAGAAGAGCGCCGTACTCAGATCACAGGTCCCACTGCGCTAGCTCGCACAGAGCCCCTGATTCGCGTAGTGTCAAGGCACAGCACCACTCAAGACAGGTAGCACTGCAGAGACAGGATGTCACACAGAGTTGATGACTTGTAAGATTGCTGCTGTTTTCAGTTCCCCATCCTCCGTGAGTAGTAAAACGGAAAAGCACAGACCAGAAAGAGGAGCCCCAGGAAACTCAGACTATCGGTCTCTGACGCGGAGAGAAAGTTTGAGAAAACAAGTGATTGTACACAGCAAACAACTGCTAGCGAGTGCAGAGAGATGGCCGAGGTTTGCGCTCGCTGTGACCCAGAGGGCAGGAAGGTCGGGTGCAAGGGGCGGGGGCTCTGGCCATGGGCCTGGCTGGGGCGGGCCAGCCGGCGGGGCATTTAAACCACAGTCGCCAGTGTCGGGGACTCTGCCGGCTCCGTACCCTCCGTCGTCCCAGCTCCAGGTACCGGCCACGCAAGATGCGGTCTTCCCTGGCTCCGGGTGTCTGGTTCCTCCGTGCCTTCTCTAGGGACAGCTGGTAAGCAGGGCTGGGGAGGGAGGCTGCCGGGACGCTCAGAGACGCACTCACACTCGGATGGCTGATGTCTCTGCTTGTCCCTGGGGTGGGGGAAGGGGTTCTAGCTCTTTCTGGCACCGGCTCCTTGAGTGGCGCAGGCGTGGAAGGTTAATAGCACAGATCTGTTAATTCCACATTAGCCCAGACTAATGTGTGGCCCTGGTGAGTCTTCATCCTTTCCGGTTTATCGCCGGTGTCTGCAAACACAGGCACCTGTAGAGGACCTCCAACTCTTACTGGAGCACTTAGGGGATCTGAACTTGCCCGTGGGAAACCTAGGGAGTGGTACAATATCAAGGTGGCCAGGGAGCTTAGGCCCCGTTCTAGTTTATTTTATTGATCGGATTAGGTAACAGAAGACAGAAATCACTGGTTCTGGGAGCCTGCCTGGGGGCACCGTTCCAGTCGCAGGGTACCTAGCTAGGGGAGATCTCTGGGAGCAGAGCTCTCCCAAGACTGGCTGGTTACCCTTAAAATCGTGAGCTGGCAGCTGTCCTCATGACCACAAAGTCACCCATCTGCTGGGAGGAAAGGTTTCAGGAGGAAAGTGTTTGATTTGCTCTGATGGATGGGGTGGGGGGTGGGGTGGGGGATAGCATTGGGGGAGACCTGGGAGTTAAAGATAATTTTGTTAGTTGCCATCATTTATAAACTATAAAACTTAACAAAATAGTCAGTTACTGGCTTCTTTTGAAAAAGAGATGACATAGCATTGCCAAACCTAAATTCTCAAATTAAACTAAGGGTCACCTTTAGATTGGGCAGATTAACTTAGAGTGTAATCCATTTGGCCTGTTTTTAAAGTGTTTGGTTTCCAGCCCTCTCAATCAGGCTAGTCATCACATACAATATCCTTTAGATGGTTTATCTGGTCCTTTTAAATTTTGGAACTATTAAACAGTTTTGTGTTTTCAGAAAGATATAAAATGACTCTGATAAGGATATTAACATGAGCATGTGTTAGAGAGTATGTCTCCCTCATAATGAAGGAGCCAGAAGATGTGGTAATTGGGGGGAAAGAGAATTCAGAGAGGGCAGTGGGGGTTACTGTTTACTGTACATGGCTACCAGCCATGGCTGCACAATGGAATATGCTTGCTGCTCCCGACTTTACATTTAAAGGTGATTGAAATGACTTTTTATGCTATGTATATTTACTACAATTTTTAAAAGCATAATACAAATAAACTCATTTATACATTAAGACTCTTGAAGCTATCTCACTGATGGACATATTTTACAAGACTTACCCATTAGCTACCACTTCAGAGAACAAAATAGCTCAATGTCAAGAAAAACTGAAGTCAGGATACATGACAAGCCAGATTCAGAAAACCTGGAGAGTATCCTCTCTTCAATACATCGTTGTTTTCTTTATAGACTCCATTTCGACTTTTTTAATATCTAAGAAAAACTTTTGATCACACAATAAAGTGGGCCTCCTTAGATTTAATCTCATTGCCTATGTACAGCAAAGGTATTAATTAACCAAGTAGGTCATGCTAAATTTGTGTTGCTAGAAGTTTTCAGAAGGAGTCTTTAAAAAAAAAATAAGGTGTGTGTGTGTGTGTGTGTGTGTGTGTGTGTGTGTGTGTGTGTGTAGGTATGTATAGTTTTTTTCCTTTGGTGGGTGATGCATGTGTGTCCCTGTGGAGGCCAGAGGTCAACCTCAGGTGTCCTCCAGAAGCCATCCTACCTTATTTTTTGAGACAGGGTTTCTTGCTGAGACCCAGAACTTACTACTCAGCTCCACAGAGCTTTCGGTAGCTCTAGCCTGTCTCTGCCTTCCCGGCCCTGGGAGCGCAGAGGCCGCAGCCACCATGCCAGGCCCTGCATGTGGGTGCTGAGGAGGATGCTCAGCTTTGCAGGGAGCGCTTTGCAGGCTGAGCCACTGCTCCAGTATTTCATAGGCACTCTTGCTTTGCTGCTTTCTTATAGTCATTTTACTATTTATTGCCTTGAGATAAGATGTTGAGAAACTGTCTTTACCAGATTTTACCTGCTGTATCTATAGATTTGGGCAGATCCCTCTTTCAGTAGGTCCCCTAAATATCCTAAGACTTTCAGACCCAAAAAACTGAGTGACTTTCTTCTACCTCTAAGACAAGGAACTCAGAAACCCACTTTCCTTGGGAGTGCTCTTTAGTATTGATGCCATACAGTGAGCCCTAGCTCCTTCTAAGGGGCCGATATAGTTAGTTATTATTAAATAGCCATCCTTGTCAAGTACAATATCCAACTAAGTCCTTGGTTACACAACCAGCACTTCTAAATCTGTTCTCGTTAAGAACAAAGAAGAGATTCTTATGGAAGCTTCACAAATAACCACATCGCCCTGTAAAACAAGAAGACTCAGAGTTTCTGCATTTCGGCTTACAAAAACTACAATGCCTATGAAATTGCTATGGGTTATGGATCACTTAAGAGGAAAGGAAAAGGTCTTCCTTATACAGGCATCCTGAAAATGGAGTGCTGTAATAACATTTCAGCATAAGTGACTGTCACTGACAGTTTACTTACTCCTGTGCCATTGATTAGTGCTGGTCCTCCACATCTCGGTTTAGCAATCCCTGGAACTCAGCTTCTCTAGACAGAAGTCTTCTAACCGTCCTCTACTGTATAAAGTTGTCCAAATGAGACTGCCAGAAGGGTAAGTGGTCAACTTATAAAAATGAACAAACACATTTTTTTAGAGAGGAAAAACATTAAGAGAAATACCACATACAAAAATTCTGAGATGAGCTGGCGAGATGCCTCATCCATTAAGAGCACTGGTTACTCTTCCAGAGCACCCAGGATCTATTCCCAGCACCCACATGGCAGCTCACAACCATCTCTCACTCCAGTTCAAGGGGATCTGATACCTTCTGGCCTCCATGGGAAACTGGCACACATGTGGTGCACAAACATACATGCAGGCAAACACTCATACACATAAAATAAAAATAAATACATTCTTAAGCCAGACAATGGTGGCATATGCCTTTAATCACAGCACTCCAGGTGGATCTCTGTGAGTTCAAGGCCAGCCTGGTCTACAGAGTGAGATCCAGGACAGGCACCAAAACTACACCAAGAAACCCTGTCTCTAAAAACAAACAAACAAACAAACAAAAAGCAGCATGCGCCAGGCGGTGGTGGCGCACACCTTTAATCCCAGCACTCAGGAGGCAGAGGCAGGTGGATCTTTGTGAGTTCGAGGCCAGCCTGGTCTACAGAGTGAGTTTTCCTGTGCTAAGCAGAATATAAGCTGAGGTGGAGACAGCACAGTAAGGCCATATAGTGTGAAAGAAAATAGAAATGAACTCTGTCACACGTTTCTTTCACACGGGCCTAAGGAGAGCATTGAAATAGACCGAAGATAACAGGTAGTCTTGAACTCTTCACCTGTGAACTAAGGATAACAGCAATCCCCACTCATCAGATTGCTGCAAGGTTTAAATGGAGTCTTCGGATGGGTGCCAGCCCTGCCTTCAGCCCAGAAGCAGCTTCACTACTGACTGACATTCTATAAGCTTTCCATACTCCTTTGTACCAGGTTTGTCTGGTTTTTTTGTTTTGTTTTGTTTTTTAATGAAAGTTTAGTTTAGTTTAGTTCCTCCATGGGACACACTGGTAAAATAAGATACAGAAAAGGATGTAGCTTGTCCAGCACTGTATTGCTGGCAAAGGCTGTACTGGAGTTGGATCCGGGCTGTCTGACTCCTAGTCCTTGGTCTTCCCCTTGTACTCCTGATGATCATGTGAGTGGAAAATAAAAATTACACTGTCATTTGGCTCTAGACGAATCACTTAATCTCTGTGAGGCTACATTTCCTTAACTAGACAAGGAAAATGGCAATACTTATATCTCAGGGCATTGATATTTAATGAGAAACTTGATTTTTACACTTACTTAGTTCTTTTTTAAAAGCTTTTTTTTTTTTTTTTTTTTTTGACCGGGCATGATGATCCTTTGATCCCAGCAGAGACAGGCGGATCTCTACAAATCGAGTTCCAGGACAACCAGGGCTGTTACACAGATAAACCCTGTCTCGAAAAACAAAACAAAACCAGAAACTTTAATTGAAATAATTATCACTTTCCCAGCTACCCTCCCTACAGCCCCTCCCATGCCCCCCACTCTCAAGCTGATAGCCTCTTTATCTTTGTGATAGGTATGTAAATAGAAAGCCTTTGAAAGCACTTGGGCTAGTGTAGTTGGGATTTGCTAGGCAGCTGGCATTTCTGTTGTAGATGGGATTCACCCCTTGGGAGGAGATCACCTTTAGTTCAGTGACTCTGGCAGTCCTTGTCTGTGGGCTGGTTATAAGGTACTCCAGCCAGTGGGAGCATCATGCGAGAAAGCAGGCTCTCGAGTGGGACTGTGAGCAGGCGGCACCAGGTCTGTGGAGGCCATCAGAGTCTGTGGAGTTTGCACCCAGTAGGCGTTAGTTACTCTAGACCCTGTCAGGACTGATTAGACAGCCTGTCCATGGCATTGCTGAGCCACCAAACACCCAGGGGGTCCTTAGCCCTGGGCCTGCCTGCTTCCTTGCCTTCTGTGCCCATATCTGCATGGGCATGCCTGGGGGCAGTGGACAACACGGGCATCTTTCCAGAGAGATGACTGTGGCTGCTGCTTACAGAGCTGGGTGAATCTCCTGGGGCCTTGTAAGGAGGAGAAACTCAGGACCTGGAGGAGGGAGCAGGGTGACGCTGCAGCTGGCCCAGCAGGAATGGGTGTGGAGGGAGATAGCTTTCACAGGAGGAGCAGGAGCTGAGGACTCCCACACTGTTTGTGTTTTCCCCATACCTTAACCTTCCCGTGGACGCTGGACAACGAAAGGCCTGACAGATGGTTCTGTGCTGTGGAGTTGGTGAGGAAGAGAGCGCAGAGAAATATCCAAACACACACCCAGAGATGCTGCCCGTGTCAGATACCTGTGCACCCATTGTATTTTTTAGTCCTTGTGACAATC